TAGTAAAGCACAACCGATTGCAAAATCGGAGGCGTCACAGACGACGCTAAACAGACTATCCGGGTCCGGTAGCGCAAGAATCGGAGCCTGGAGAAGGCTCTCCTTCACAGCCTCAAAGGCTCCGTCGTGCTCGACGTTCCAGCACCATGGTGCGTCCTTCATAAGGAGATCTGATAATGGCCGAGCCATCTCCGCGTAGTTCGCGCTGTACTTGTGCAAGTAATTGGCTAAGCCTAGCCACTTGCGTAAGTCTTTTTGGATCTTGTGAGCCGGCCAGTCCACGATGGCCTTGACTTTGGCAGGATCTGCCCTTAAGCCTCGCTTCCCAATGAATCACCCGAGGAAAGGTATTTCCTCCGCGCCAAAGACGAACTTATCCAAGTTAACATACAACTTATTAGTGCGCATGCACTCGAGCACCGCTCGCAAGTGGTCAATGTGGTTTTTTACGTCTGACTTTCCGTGCTCAGCACGACTATGGACGAATATATCGTCGAAGTACGTTTGAGGGTACGCCCGGTGGGGCCTAAACAACTGCGTCACAAGACGATTGAACGTTGCTGGTGCGTTCGACAGCCCCTGGGGCATCACCAGCCACTCCCACAGCATACCGCTCGGAGTACTCACCGCTGTCAGCGGAATGTCGCTCGCTCTCGTGAGCAATTGGTAGTAGCCATCGACCAAGTCGAGCGCGCTGTACAACATACAGCCTACCATGTTATTCTGCAGAACATCCTTTCGAGAAATCGGCATTTGCGCCGGAATAGTGGCCGCATTTAGCTTGTTAAAAGCATGAACAATGCGCCACTTGCCGTTCGGCTTTCTGACACAGAACGGGGGTGTCGAGTGCGGAGACTTACTCTCCCGCACCATTCCTGCCTCGTGCTTCGCACGGAAGAATGCGTCAATGACGTCACACTGCTCTCTCGGCAAAGTTCATTGCCTTGTTACGCAGTATTTGGTTTCAGGAACCAGGTCAATCTCATGACACACGCCTCGATCCGGAGGCAGGCCCGTCGGTGGGTCTTTCGAGACAACGTCTCCATACTCCTTCACCCCCGGGTAGAAGGGATCTGAAGGATCTTTGAGGATCGCCGATCCACTTCTTGCGCTCAGCGCCTTCTTAGTGTCCTCTAGGACCGCGTCGTCCACGACGGATGAGAAGTTCAACTCCTCCTCAGGTCCCAGCAGGACCACCTCGGCTAGCTCGCCTGCCTTTAAGGCGTCGCCAAACTCGGCAATGGACACCTCGTCCAGCACTAGCAGAGCATCCGCAGCGGGCAGAGTGTCAAGGCTGATATCGCCTTCTACCTCCCCCGTCACTTCGCTCACGAGTGTATACAGCTGTTCACAGCAATCACGTGGAGCATCACTGCTCGTCACGTTGGACACATCGTCCGACGTCGAAGACGTCACAGACGCCGTGCGTCTTCTTCTCCTCTCCCTCCGCGACCGAGCCCGGCCGGATGAGGGCGGTGTGGCGACATCTCCGTTACCATCACCGGGTGCAGCAGCACCATCCCTCCTCGAAGAGGATACAGTGTCTCGCAAGACACTCGGCTGGAAGCCAAGATGTTCTTGACCTTCACACAGTGAACTAGGTGTCACTTCACCTGCATCTCCTGGGCCACGCCCATGATGCCTCGACTCGCAGTCGACCGCGACCCTCGGGTCACGCAGCGGTAGGTCATCGACCAGGTTCGTACCACTCAGTGGATTACGCGCCACTCCGCGCTCGTCCTCACCAGGACCCAGCAGCTGGCCATTGACCTGACCTGCACCGCTCAGCGGATAACGTGCCGCACCATGTACGCCCTCAGGGCAAACAGCAACCTCGTTGCTAACAATTTCGGACATACCAATGTCCAGCACTACGGCCGCCTCGGCCTCGTGCCCGCGCCAAAAGCGCTTCTGCTGCCTAGCAGAGGTGGGTTCATGACTCACCAAAGCTCCACTAGGAGCAGGGTGCGACGCACCCAGCGTTTTAGACTTCCAGTCGATCCATGGCTCATGGCGTTCCAGCCATCCCATGCCAAGGATGAGGTCATACCTCGCATCCAGGTCTAAGACCAAACAGCGTTCCACGCTATCGAAGTTCTCAAACTTCACTCCAAGGTCGACAGAGACCTTCGACACAGTTACCAGTGTTCCCGTCGCGAGACGGACAGAGATCGTATCTCTCGTTGGCACTTCCAGTGCCTCAGCATACAGCTGACTCCCTTCCAGGGTGGAGCGACGGGCGTAGTTGCCCGAGGCTTCCGAGTCAATCAAGACTCTCCATGGCTTTGCAAAGCCCTTCACGCTCGCTTGAACGACCAGCAAGCCCGGCTTGCACACACTCTTCTCGTAAGAGAGCTCAGCTCTCTTCGGGGCTGAGCCCCGTTGCCCTCTACCTCTTCGAGGCACAACAGAACTCAGTTCTTCCCCAGTAGGCAGCCCCGCGCCTACTGGGAATTGCCGTTTCCCGGCGATGACCCGGAGGGTTGGCTCGCCGGAGCCCCGCGCTTCTTGCGCAGAGGGCAATATGCCCTCAAGTGCTTAGTGCTATTGCACACAAAGCATCGGCGGATGCCGGCACGCTGCTCCGCAGCAGGAAGCTTCGCTTCTTTATCTTCAGCATAGCTGAGGTCCATCGGCTCTGGACCGCTCAAAGAGCTTGCGCTTCTAGCGCTCCAACCAGGTCGAGCCGACCTGAAGTTGTGCTCGGCATTAAATGCCACATTCACCGCCTCTTCGAAAGAGTTAGGGTGTACACGGAACACTTCCGTTTGAGCTGCGCTCACACGAAGTCCCTCCATGAACACGGTCACGCTGACCAGTTCCGGAAGAGGGTCCGCCGCCATTCCGGCGATAAGAGTTCTCAACTCTTGGACATAGTCCAATAACTCCTTCTTACCCTGGCGGGTAGCAAGGAACTTCGACCGGATACGGTACGCCTGATTAGGCGGCGCGAACACGCGCGAAAGCCGTTGCTTCAGCTGATCCAAAGTGGGAAATGCAGCGTCAAAAGACGTGTCGCACGTTAGTGCCCATTCGCGAGCGCGACCTCCAAGCCTGGAGATAGCCAGCGCCACGCGCTGATGCTCAGACTGGAGCAGGGCCGATCCCATGACCGTCTCGACCTCACGGGTCCAGAGAAGGAGATCCTCTCCATCCTTCCCCTTGAAGGTTCTTACGCTCACCATGAGCGGTTTCAGTCTCATAGACTCTTCACGCGTCATCGACGCCGCATCTTCTCCTGGACATGCTCCAAGAGCGCGTTCTCGTAGCGGGAGAACGATTCCAGCCTCATTGACCGCCTCTGGACCTTGCGATGCAAGATGAGCCACGCCCTCCGGGCCAAGCAAGGACATAAGCTTAGTAAGCGCGTCCTGCTGCGCCGGGGGCAAATTCGCGAACACGGGGTGTTCCATCCTCGCAGAGGATATAGTCAACCGACTCAGGAGCGGGATTGACTACAAGTGCTACCAAGTGCAGCGGGGATGCCGTAGCTTTAGCGTCGGAGGAAGACGTTCGACTCAAAGAGTCACCAATACTAAGTTCCTTTTCCAAAGGACACTTACAGCCCAAGACCAGGGCTCAAAGTTAATACCTTAACTTTATGCTTCAAAACCAGAAGTGTTTATTTACTGAGAGGATGTTAACTCTCCCGGTACTTCGTACCCCTGTGTGTTCCACACCATGTAACTTCGTTACAAACTGTGATTGTATTGAAGTTTGTATAAGTAGTGCATAGACGTAGACTTGTTCGTAGTTGTACCGTTTATACTACTAAGTATGCGTAAAGTCATACTACAGAATTAGTAAGTAAGAGCTACTGTTTTGAATGGAAAACCGAACTTTTACCACAAAATCACTGCTCTGACGTGTTTTTTATATGTTCCACACGTACTTCTTCGTGCTACACATTGCTCTACACTTTGGAAAACTTGTGTTGAATATGGGGCCATATGATAAAACACCATATTCGAGCTACCGCTAGTATACAAGTCGATACACATCATGAAATCGGATAAAATCATTGAATTGAGCGAAATTGCGATTGTATTGAAGTTTGTATAAGTAGAGCATCGACGTAGACTTGTTCGAAGTAGTATCATCTATAGTACTATGTATGGGTAAAGTCATACTATACAATTAGTAAGTAACAGGTAGTGTTTTAAATGGAAACCGAACTTTTACCACAAAATCACTGCCCTGACGTGTTTTTTAGCGCTGCGCGTGTACTTCTTCGTGCTACACAGTGCTCTACACTTTGGAAAACTTGTGCTGGGTATGGGGCCATATGCTAAAGCACCACATCCGCGCTACCGCTAGTATACAAGTCGATACACAAGATGAAACTGGGTAAAATCATTGAATTAAGCGAAATTGCGATTGTTTGAAGTTTATACATGTAGTGCATTGACGTAGGCTTGTACAAAGTAGTGCCACCTATACTACTAAATTTGAATAAAGTCATACTATACAATTAGTAAGTAAGCGTTGGTGTTTTGAATGGAAAACCGAGCTTTTACCACAAAATCACTGTTCTGACGTGGATTTTGACCCTGCGAATGTACTTTTTCGTGCTACAGATGGCTCTACACTTTGGAAAACTTGTGTTAGATATGAGACCATATGATGCATACATCATATTCGAGCTGTCGCTAGTATACAAGTCGATACACAAGATGAAATGAGGTAAAATCATTGAATTAAGCGACATTGTGATTGTATTAAAGTTTGTATATGTAGTGCATAGACGTAGACTTGTACAAAGTAGTACCATCTATACTACTAAGCAGGGGTAAAGTCATACTATACAATTACCGTACCTCACAAAAGAAATGCTAAACAGATAAATTGCCATAACACAAAATTGAAGCGTTTTGTTTCATTTAAAACTATTTATTAACACCAAGAAGGCAGTTTAAAACGATGATTTTCATAAGGTCTCGAGGGCAATGCTTCTAATAATAGGAATCAGACTGGCATCTGGAACTCATTTCTGCAGTGTGATGAAGCTTAACGGCGGAGGAATATCGCCTGCGCTAGCGCAGTGGGTTCGTAGGCGCCTCGAAGGTGCCAACTGGAGCATTCGCAAAAAGAGTGTGTCTCAAAAGGTGCCAACTGATTGGGTTTCAGTTGCTCTTGTAGCCTCACAGAAGGTTCGCACCAAGCTGGACGGGTGTACAGTTTTAATCAATGCCGACGATGTGTTTATCAAGTTCTTCCCTAGAGACACAATTTTTTTGATACCTACTGGAACGCAACGAGTTGAATCTAATGTGGCTTCAGATGCCAAAAAGGGATGCATAGTGATGGTTTCTGCAGAAATGTACTCCTCGAAGGTCCTTCCTGCCTTTATTGTGATGACCGCGACTCACAATGGCACCCTTGCTAGACGTTTTGCTACGTGGCGTGATGAAGGAGGTGATGCAAGCGTTCATTTTCAACCTTCACACTGGATGGACACGCCAACCGCAAAAAAGTACGCGGACGTTTTGGTTAGTCTATACCCGGGTCGAAAAATTGGTCTCATTTGGGATGCAGCTTCAGCTCACATTTGTCAGGAAATGATTGACTACTTGAACAAGAAAGGTATCATGTATGAGTTTATTCCCGCTGGATTAACTTCTATCATGCAAATCTGCGATCTCTACGTCAACCGACCTTTGAAAGCTGCTATTAAGAAAAACTTTATGCGAAAGTGTCACAAACCATCCCACCCGGTGGTAAGTACAACGTTGATCGAGTCCAAGTGATTCAATGCGTCGAAGAGGCCGCTTCAATGGTAAATGAAAAGCAGAACGCTGACAGGAAGATTGAGTACATGTTCAAGCGACTCGGCCAGGATCCACGACAGCCCAGTCAGTAGCCAGGCTTTTCAAGAACACATAGGCCTTCTACAAGAAAACGAAGTCTACAACTCACTTCTGCTGAACCAGACAGCAGAAAACCTTGTGTGGTGGAGAGATTGGGCGAGTCATAATTTTGAAATTTCTAAGCTAAATATTAACACGAAGATTGCATATTTGCTTTGCCAGCCCGCTTTTAAACGGTAAGATGAGTGCCATTTCCCGATGACCAAAAGCATTTCTTTTGTGAGGTACGGTAGTAAGTAAGCGTTGGTGTTTTATACGGAATACCGATCTTTTACCACAAAATCACTGTTTTGACGTGGGTTTTAACGCTGCACGTGTACTTTCTCGTGCTACACATTGCTCAACACTATACATATAATCCGGTCGATACATAATCGTCATTAATTTTGGGTTTTTGTAGTCTCAACCTAAAGCATCGGGTAGTCCATTTTGCCTAAAATAAATGTAGGGTATATTGAATCACCCAAAATAAACTCTATTTTGGTGCAATTCGAAGTTGGTATTTCATAAAACCGCCGCATTACGACAGCCATGCTGAGAAGGCGGTGCATCTACACATGGACGCACTGCAGGCGCGGTAAGCTATCTGTTTGAATCGGTGAAGCTGGCGGGGCGGCGACATCAAACTTGCTGCTAAAGTGACATCCCGCCACGAACAGTGTGAGTGGGGTTAAATCACGAGCGGTCGGCGTCATCTTCGACGAACAATAGTGGCCAGGTGTCTATCAGCTCCGCCACAAGCGCCATCTCTGGTGCTGTAACAGTAAGCTCTGGTGTCAGCAGCCCTGGGATATCTGGTCTGGTGAGGGTACAATCACTAGTGGCGTCCATCATTACGGCTGGATCCATCGTAACGAAGGCCCTCGAGTCAACTCTGGTCAGGTGTTCCCGCTCGCAACCTGCGCGACCTCACGGCTGAGGAGACGCAATTCATGAAGTAGTGCTCGGCCGAGTACGCTCAACTGGCGGAGCAGCACGCCGGCGAGTGCCTTAAGACCTTCGAGGAGTACGAGGCTGACATGGAGCGCTACAAGATCCTGCGGGACGTGGGCGAGACTGGTCTGCCGCAAAAAGGCGATGAGCGCGAAGACAATGGTCTCTACTTCCGTTACTAGACGGCAAGCATAGTTTCGAGTGCAGAATAACGTAGAGCGAACAAAAAGAATGATCATGAACACAAACGATAGATTGGCTCCGTGGCTTATCATTTATAGGTGGATAAAAACTTTCATGCCTACGAGTTCTGAGAGCTCACTCTTCGTCACTCTGTTCTTGCACCGCAACTACAGCAAAACATACCGGTAATAAAGATCAGTGTACGCAAGCAAGAAAAAACTTGTACCATTGTCGGACTTACAGGAGAGCGCAATCAGCTTTACGAAAAACTCCCGCACTACAGGCTCTTGAAGTGTTGCCGTTATCGCAAAGACCTTTGGGTTGGCCATGAGCTGCAGCACAACATCGCCTAAAAACGTGAATTGCACGGCTATTACAAAACCAGCGCTTGCACCAGCCGTACCTGCTACCAGCATGCTGGCCATTAAAACCGGGTCCTGCAACGCCTGCACGTAGTATGAGCCTTGGTTCATGGCGGTCATCAGTGACGGCCCAAAGTGAACGCTCGAAGTAATTCCAGAATCTCGGCATCTTCGTCACTGGCTCCAGCAGAGCTCTGAACCTCCAACACCTCTTCTTCATCAGATGCAGGCGGCGAACTAAGTCTGTGATAGCTTCCAAGGCGCTCTGTTCTTCTTCACGCTGCTTTGATAGTTCAAGCACCTCCAGAAAACACTTCAAGGTATTGACGGAATCCTCCTCTTCTGCATGAAAAAGTAGCAGCTCTGGATTTTCGCCAACCTCCATCAACGCATCACAATAAGCTGCCCATCTTCTCTATCACCTGTGTCCTTTTGCTTTGACTGTAAGAAGTCAATTAACTTCTGATAAAAACCCTCGCAGCTCGTGGTCACCCAATTGAGATTGAGGACGTCTGGGTTCAAACTCATGTCTCGTAACACCGACACTATCTTCTCGTTTTGCTACATCAACTCGCGCATCGTGTCGTCATGCAAAATAGCGTTTACTACCTGTGCGTTGAGGCCACCATGCGTGCGGAGACAATGCGACTGGAGATTACTTGCTAGCTGAATACCGTTTTCTCTTCCTGGACCTTCGACTTTTTCTTCAGCGCCAACTTCGAGCGAAGCTCGCCCTCGCGTCCATCATACTTCGTTAGCAGCTTCTTGACAGTGTTTTCCCTTTGGGGGCCATACCAAGCCAGTAGATCATTTGATAAACCCCGCCGTTCCCACTTTTTTGAAACATAGCGGCATCTCCACGTGATCATGAGAAACAACAATTGTTTTTTTGTCGCGGCATCAGCTTCTCGATCCTCGAGTAGCAACTCAAGTTTTTCCAGAAGGCTAACTGACTTGAACTGAACCATCGATGAAGAAGAACCACTTATCTCTGGATTCGGGCAGTCTTCGCTATATAGAAGATCGCTGAGCCAATTCAACAAGTTACTGTCATCACTAGCCACGCTGTCCAGAACGTAGGGTTCCCTCAACAGACTGGTGTCTCTCGTTAGAACAGTGCTTTTCGAGATATCAATTACCGAGTATGATCACGGTGGATTCCTACAAATTTCCACTTGCCGAATCAGACGCTGTGCACGACACTGTTGTTCAACGAGATCCTTGAGCACGACGGAAGGTTGTTTCTTGGAGTTGGGACGAATACAATGAAAGTAGAACGGCATGTTCTTGTCATCATGGCTTGATGGCATTAACGTGAGAGCGAAACTGCCCAACCTCCAGGTAGTCGAGACTCTGCTGAACTAAACGTGCTGCTGTTTGTGTTTGAAGGTCTACCCACTTGATTGCTTTCCGCAAGCATTCGACAGAAATGAGGATTAGTCGACGCCTCGAGCCCCACCAACAGGCTTGAGTAGACAAAGTCCGAGTTTTTCTTCACGAAATTAACGTTTCCACGTGTGTACGGGATTATAAAGGGTAATTTGTTCGGCAATACAGTAAATCGAAGATTTCCCTTGTTTAAGGCGCGAGGCGGTTCAGGTAATCGAGACGGATTGCGGTCGTAGATGTTGCGTACAAACAATCTGTTCCGTTTTTCCTCTTGCTGCGCGTTCACGTTTTCGCTTTGGTGAAGAATAGTCAGCTCCTCAGGCGAAGCGAAAATTCCAAGAGGATGCTCATAAAAAAAGGACGTCTGTGTCCTTGTCACGGACAGACGAATACGGTCGGTTATTGTAGGCAGCTGTAACCACTTGTTCTTCCCTATCCAGTGAGTTATGCGAGAGGTCTTCAAAGCCAAATACGTCGACAATCTTCAGCAGTGAAATGTCTGGTGGGATAATCGGGTTGGAGTCCACACGAAGCTCATTCCTATCAGTGCATGAACCACTAATTTTTGTTGCTTGGTTCCTAGCGGTAACGATGTACTCGAACGCGAGCTGGTATAACAAACGTACGAGTGTGTCTCGAACATGCTTTACCTGACCCTGCTCCAGAGTCACCTCGAATGCTTCACTCGTCCATTGCAAACTTACACTTCTTGTCATCATCATTCGTTTCAATTTCTCCACTGATCCCAACTCTAAAAGTTCCACCACTCTTTGAGGTGCATTAGGCACCCCCGTCCATGTAGAAGACATCAAAAGCTTCCCCGATGTCTCAGGATAGTCAAGCTCAATATTTCCAAGCCACAGAACAGCACTTAGCACTTTAAAAATTGCCTTCTGCTCGTCTGGGGATACGTTCAGCTCATCTAGCCCATCAATAATCTGCTGCCATCTTTCCACATCCTTTTTCCACGTTTCCTCTTTGCTCATTTGCTCTGCCAGCTTGTGGTCGCTGCGACCGAGATAAGTAAACGCGAAGCACTTTACACCATCGAAATGCAACTCCTTCGCTAGCAACCGCATAAAGGAAAAGGCGTTGACACCGGCCACCATCGCGTACAGTACGCGAAAGTTCAATTCATTCTGGTCTCCAGCTTCACGACCTCTTTCACTTGTAACGCGGGATTTTTCAAGTAAAAATGGCGATATGTGACAGCCACAAATCTGAAACTCCAAAGGATGAAACCCAAAGGCAACTTGCAGAGTTGCCACTTTTCCAAACCTTGACGAATTAAGGCACATCGACGTGGTAGCATTTCCAAACGCTTCCATAATAATAGTGAAGTCCAAACTGTGCTCAGCTTCTTCGCCACATGTGGATTCTTAAGATACATTCGCAATTGTTCTTCATCCTCAAGATGCTACAACTTGTCGTAAAACCCAAAGAAAAGGTTGGCCACGTGCACCTGGGGGAGACGCTTACTTCGACTCACTGATGCCATTTCTTCCCAGCGCTCAGGATGCAAATCCAGCAGCACGATTTCGTATTTCTCCACACCTTTAGCTTCGAGGAGAGCGATCGATCGTGCTTTCTCTGTTCTCATCTGAACGGTACTTTTAGTGGAGCTAGTAAACAGCTTGATCTTGGGCTGGCGACCCTTCGAACCCTCAGAAAGAGCTGGTTGCGCCACAAGTACCGGGTACTTCAACAAGTCCTTGGCAAGTTCTGTCTTGCTACTCTCGCCGCAAAGAAAAAAGGGATTGCCCGCGACCCTCAGCCATAGTACGGTTGTTCAGTGAAGTTTTAAAGAGCAAAGTGGGGTTGGCAAAGGTGTGTAATTCTATTGAAGGCGACAAACTTCCGCAATGATCGACCTTTTCGTTGTTCTAGCGCACAGGGTGTCGTTAGGAAGAGATACGATTATGAAATTGCCATCAACCTTGAAAAAATAAATGTGACTCACAACATTTTTCGATGCTTGAAGGTGGATATTTGTTTGTTTGCTTTCCAATACACTTAATCCATGGGCTGAGTTTGAGCACCATCGAGAACACCCGGAAAGCAGAAGTAAATGGTTTTCGTCCACTTTTATTTTTCTTACGTTAATCTGCTGTGCTGAGATCTCGACTGCTAGGACTCCAACCAGCTTTTCTTGGTGTGTGAAGAAAATAAAGGTACTAGCTGGTGTTATTGAAGCAAAATATGTGCCCAAAGCCTGCAAAGGTTGGTCATGGATCCACTTGGCGCTGTTCGAACGAGCCATTTTGAGAATTCGTGGTCACTCATGCAAACTAATTGAGCTTCGACTGCAGCTTTCCGAAATACTTCGCGTTTAATGTGACGAAAGAAATGCCAAACGCCCGGGATCATTGTATTTCGAGCTTTACTGGTACATGCAGACCCCGTTTTGCTGTCACGGTGGAGACTTCTTCTTTGATCACTATCCACCAGTGGTAATCCACAAAAAAAACATGTATGGAATGGAATTTTCAGCTGATTGGGGCAGTTTGCTGCTTGATGGCGACCATCATCTATAACAATAATGCTTTCTCAGTGGACATTGAGAAGACGAATGGATAATCGTAGATGTCTTGTTTGTAATCCAACACACGCGACAAAACTGATCAGTGTCATAGAACAAGAACTGATTAACACATTGTAGATAAATGCGTCATCTCGTTGATCTGACCTTGCGTCAACAGATTGCGTAGGAGCTGGTTTTCGATTAGAAGGCGCTTCTACTGATGAGGATGAATGAATTTCAATATCACTGCAGCGTTCACTGCATATATCGCACAGCAAATTGCTTTCATCAATCGTACACGGTAGCCCAACTCCATCCATCACGTTTTGCAGCGGCATCTTTGTCTGGAGCGTAAGGATTTGTCAAGTTCTTGAAGTTCGTGGAGTCCATGTTCCTCGGATTGATCATTACGTAATTCCGATAGCCGTTTAATGCATGTTTCTCTATAAGAAACACAATATGCTGTGATGCAACGAGCCGGCATACCATCACGTCCTGATCGACCCGTTTCTTGGGTGTAATCGATGAGATTGTGGGATAACCCGTAGTGAATGACTATACGCACGTTAGGATAATCCACACCGTGTCCCAAACCACTCGTAGCCACGATAAAAGATGTTTTGTCCGATTTCCACAGATCTAATTGGGTATGTCGTTCTTCTAAATTCAGGTCGCTATGATAGCGAGCTACGCTCTTGCCAGATCTTTCGGTGAGTAAATCAGTAATTTCATCGACTTCTCGATTTGTCATCACGAATATAATACCCTTGTTAGGATGCTTCAATGATTCTCTGACTAAATCAACCCACCGTTGTTGCATTTGTGTCACAGCTGCAACTTGCTCTACAGAATGGATAATATTGGGTCGTGTTGTTGGAAGTCGTAATGATGCAAACGAAAACCCAAAGGTGGTGGCTAGGTCGGTCTCCCACGACGGAGGTAATGTTGCAGTTAGTAAAACATTCTGCACATCAAATACGGCTAGCATCTTCAGTGAAGTCATGCACCGTCTATAGTCAGCCGCAGTCAATGCAAGGTGAGCTTCATCGAAAAAAATACACTTCAGAATTTTTCGTTCTTGCAGAGTGCTAGCATACTGTTTAAATCGCGAGTGGGATAGATAATCAACGCCAACGAGTAAGAGCGGATACCAATCAGCGTGAGGATTCAAAGTCGGCCGGTACGACGCACATTTAATACCACGGGCATTGCACTTATTCACAGAGTCGATCATCAGAGCTACCAAAGGTATCACCACTATAATACAGCTTGATGGCTCTGCATAAGCAGGAAGCTGGTACAGCAATGACTTACCGCCATTGGTCGGTAAAACGACTAGTAAATTGGTCAAACCTTGAAGTATCAACGTGGCACCAAGGCACTGTTGAGCAGATTTAAATCTTGCCGTGGTATCATTAAAAAACCGCTTCAAGTGTTGACGAGGGATACTAAAGTGCTCTGGTAATAGCCTAGTCTGGGCCTGCTGGAGGGTTTGCTGTCTAAATGATGGAACTAGTACAGGAACCGAAATTTCCATTGAAAGCCGTGGCGGAATCTGTAAATCCAATGAATCATTATAATGTGCAGCTGTCACTTGTCGATCAGAGTAACTCCGTTCAACTCGAAAATCTGCGTTTGTTAAACGGCTGCAGCTTAATTGCGAATCGCTTGTCTGGCTACGTGTCACATCATACAGTCCGAATAGCTTCTGCCACTCACAAGAACATCTATAGAATTCGTACATGTCATCCCGAGACATAAAGGACGGGTCGGTTGTAGATCTGCTGTAAAGTGTCGAAGCAACTTGACTCGAATGAACAGCTTGTAAATCGTACAAGTCACTGCACAAGTCAGCTTGCTTGATATGTTTGTCTACCAAACCAACTGCAAAGTGCCGATATATACTCACTGTAATTTCCAAGTTTGAGCGAAGAAATGCGTTATTAATTATCAAGTTGATGGAGTCCTCTTTGATGCGCCCTCGATCGTGAGTAGCCCACAAATAATAGTGGCACTCCTGAGATTGCTGCTTTAGACCGTCACCAATCAAGCCAAATGGAAAATGCCCCATGAAAAATTCTAGTGCTGGTCTGATATAAACTAGGTACACGACGAAGTTTAATGTCAATTGTGGCGGCACGAAGCGCGCTATTAAGCGGTGTTGTCCGGTTTGGTTGGTTCCCTTATGGTATCTCTGCACGATCATAACTTTTTTGTCGTATAGGTACACACTTCTTGCTGTCGCAACAACGTTTCGAATTAGTAGAGCAGTTCATTCGGATCCACGTGATGGCTGCCCTGCGGTGAGGTGTATTAAAGGTATCCAATTTTTGGTTATGTCGTCAACGTGCTTGCACCACGACCGCACATGATCTATATCCATTTGAACATTGGTGCCGTTCGTACACTTAATGAAATCTTTACGAAAGGTGTGCAGCAAATAGCGTACTAGATCCAAGCGCATCTCATGCAGTGAATTATTTGTGTCGTCGAGTACACTGTAGTCAAGACTCACGTTCTGATAGTCATCGTATATAACGGACGTGGTATCTTCCAATTTGCGCTGAATATTCGATAAGTCAAACCCCTTTAGCACATTAGCGTGCATCGTAGACCGCAACTTACGGACTAGTTCGTGTATCATGATCTTAATATCCGAAATTCCAACAGCTATACCGCCAAAAGATGCCCTGTCAAAATTTGGCGACAGCCATGCCAAATTGGGCATGCCCTTTTGCTCGGGAGCCATCGCAATGGTGGAACCGAGCCGCATTACTTCTTGCAATGCCCCAAACGGTGTCCGCTCGCCGTCTTTCAAATAGAAGCGCAAGTTATTCGCCCTCTGCACAGTAACTTCATTTTCTGGGGAATGTTGGACGCCCCACTTTCGCTTATGAGCGCAGTATTTCTTGCCCAAAACTTCAAAATTGCCACAAGACTAGTAATCCTTCCTGGCACCAAAAACTGAACATTTCCGTTTGAGTCTGTCTTGGAACTTTGAATTGACGATAGAATCAGAAATCGATGTGTTGGGAACGCGAGAAAATAGCTGGGGGCATGTTTTTCGTTCAGATCGAAAAGGACAATGGACTCCAATACCAAAAACAGTGCAGCTAGAACTTTGGTATTACTGGTTTTCTTGATCAATTCAGGAATTGTAAGTGTTTCATCATTAGGCCAAGGAGTTGTAATACCAAGTAGCATGTTCAAATGTGCAACTAGATCACCACCGTACACAATGTCTGGCACTTGTACTGGGTTGTTATGCTGCCACTGGATCATTAACAATAAGGACACAAAAAAGCGACAGTATCGATCTCCACTCGATTGAAGGCGTGAAAAAGACGACGTAGTCTTTATCTCGCTGCCACTCGATGATAACATTCGCTCGATCAAATATTCCTGTGTACCAACTAGACCTTCGCAGATCATCCAGTAATGTGATATTACAGGAAATAGTTTTCGGACAGCTGTACGGCTTCGGTCGAAATTGGTAGCTTTCCAAAGATCATCGATATGTTCACCGCAATGTGTTTTCAGGACTTCGTGCCACCGTAATGAACGAGCAAAAGCTGAGTGTTGGCGCTCATCAGAAGGGGGAATAAAAAAAGTATCACTCTTGTAAGTGCTGATAATCCCATCAATGAGCGTTGAGTCGCTGCAATTGCTGTGAGTTGGCTCCAGCTTAACACCAAAGTACTTTTGCTTAGGTCCTTTATAAAGTGTCTGTACTTTACAAGAAGAAAAACTATTTGTCGGACAGTCGGCGTGAGCTCCACCACTGAAATGTTTCAGCATGCTATCCCTTTCAGGTGCAAAATACGTGCACTCCCGACATGAAAACCCGTCTTTGACTTCGATATGGTTGATTGAAGATATTAATTCGGATTGTGGCGTCAAAAAAAGAGATAAATCGTCTTCGCTCGCAAAATGAAAATTGCTTAAACGCTCTTTCAGTATGTCAAGGGACAACGTCTGTGGCTTCGAGCGTCCGACCTTGTCGCTCGGGGTAACGGCCGCCCATGTGATTTGTGCTAGCTACGAACCGTGCTAAACAACCGTCAACAACCTAGTTGCGC